CATCCCGGCAACGTCATCAGCTAACGTTGAGAAAAGTCAATAGGTGTTAGCTGGAAACGATCGGGTTGTAACCTACACTTTCCTGGCGGTTCCCAGGTCTCTGTGCGAAAATTAATAAAGCAAACAGTTTACGTTATGAATTAGTAAATCGGCATGGCCCTATGCCCGATGCAGATGATCAAATCATTGCGAACAATGTTTCACAGGTTACTGTGGACGCTGGATGTACTTTGGGAGTCGATGGTCTCAATTTTATAATTAATTTCAAAGTACTTTACATCTCTGATGTACTATTATAATTGAATGTGTAAATACATACACGGTTTGCCAATTGTTTCTCAAGGGCTAGAAATGGCCGTTGTTTCATGTATCTTTTCGTTCCCTTTTCGTTTTGATTGCCACCTGAAACCCCTGTTTCGTTTCCCTCCCCCGTAGCTGTGGGTCGGGATGCCGGCATGGTACGTTGCAGCCTGCCGCGCAAATGTCAAGTCAGGTGCTATAATGGCTGCGCTGTCGGAACAGGAGATCCAGCGTGAGATCGGGATCAGTAATCCCCTCCACCGACTGAAATTGCGTCTAGCCATCCAGGAGATGGTTGCTCTCACTGCACCAACGCCTACACCCCGACCGAACACCAGGTATGGGTCTGTACTTTTGTTCACTATGATTATTTTGCATTCGTTTACACGTGTTGACCGCTATACGAAATTTGGCACACACTCAAAGTATAGGAGGTAACCAGAGGCAATAAAGTTCAAAAGAACTGCGCGGGCAGATGATTTCAGACTTAAACTACTCGGTTCTTCTACTTTTCCGAACCGACATGTCCCCGGAATCAAGGCGAAGATCACGAGGTTAACAGAATTTATTGACGTCATACAGTTTCGCAGCCTCTTATTCAACTGCAAACGGTTATTGCCTATTAATAAGATAAATTAGCTCTCCAATTAAGTGTCAACCTAGAAGGGTGAAACTTGATAGGTAAATAGAGTAGAAACTGTTAGTCTTCGATGTGCGCGCCATGGTAGCGGTCGATCTCACGCCTCCCTGCTCCCCTTAGGACTGACTGCTACCCTGTCCTTTGCCCCCCTCCCCCCTTTAACCAAGTCTCACAGGCTTTCATGAACATGAACTAACATGAACTGCCATGCTGTGACAACTACCTCCCCCCATCCTCTAGCCCCGAGGTCAAGACCCTTTTTCACTCAGATAGCCAAGAAAGCAATTATTTGGAAATGTATTTCAGCGAGAGCCATATAATATATGTTAGGATTGAATTGAATTCAATGTGAGTATAATAAGCACTTGGATTTATTCTTTTCAATAATGTTGTTATAATATTCACCGCTAATGCGACTTTTGGTGCTGCATGGATTTGCTGATGGCTTTGTAGTCTGGTT